GCGTGATGGTTTTTATATTTATTCGTGATGAACTAAGCATGCGCACAGATATTGATCTGCAAAAGAGAACAAAGCAGCTTTAATTTGTTGCCACACTGAAGCTGTATTGATTATCTTGGAGAATGCAGGGTAGCTAGTGATGATTTGATCAATTGATCACTTGCTTAATTGCAGTGACCTGATCACCACCAAAAAACAAAAGGTTAGTAGTGAAGGTGTTAAGAATAATTAATATAATCACCCTACTTATTATTTTTTTCAGATATCTTATCACTGCTTAGTCACATACCCAAGTTAGGAAACAGCTTTGTCAGGCACTAGCTGCTGCTGGTCAAGTTAAGGAAAAACACTGAGGTTTTCTTTGTTGTAAAGGAGATGCACTAATCTGTACCTGCAGATGCCCAGCTCTTGTATTGTCGTCGGTTTGACCATGATTCATCATTGATTCACCAGCAGCCAGAGAGACATCGACAACGCTGTGAAAATGCTCATACCTCGGCCGGATAAAGTGTTTCAATTAACTATGGGTTACTGAAAGATTACTCTTTGTTCTTCTGAACGGCGTCACTGGAGTCTGACACTTGGCAATTGCACGAACCATCAGTTTTTGGGAATTTCTAAAGTAGATAGATTATTTTATTACTAGCTCCGTTTTTAATACGTGACGCTGTTGAGTTTTGGACATACGTTTGATTGTTCGTACTATTTAAAAAAATATATGCAAATATAAAAAATATAGGACATGCTTAAAGTGCATTAAATGATAAAGGTCATAGTAAAATAAAATAAATATACTTATTTTTTTGAGACTAATGATCAAATGTCCAGATTTCAACAACGTTATATATTTAAAAATGGAAGAAGTACTATTTAGTATTTATTGTGAAGTTTCTTTTATATCGGTTGTTTTTTATTTCATTTTATATTCTGAAGTTCCTTCATTCTATTCCAAATTTCAATTATCATTTGAACTGTATTTGATGTGGATTCTTTTTCTAATCTAGACAGTTATAATATGGACCCGCACTACAATCAATAATTCGGAATTATTTCTTTTCTTTTATTCACATGGAAATTTATAGGGCATGAAAGCAAAAGGTAAACGCTTGTTTTCCCTCTGTTTTGATAATGTAATAGATTGAGAATCAGTGTCTGAGGGGAGCCATAAATTGAAGTGACAGCTCAAGATGAAATTTCTCTCCAATGGCAAGAGAAAGAAACTGGTTTATAACTTGCATAGGATATCTCACACTATTTCCATACCAACAAACTGCATTATGTTTGCTGAAGATGGCTGATGCAGATTCTCTATCAATCAAGAAAAAAAAAAAATAAAATAAAGAAGATGTGTTAAAAATAACCTATCAGTTCTCAGTTCCCACACATGCCTTAATTCGGAAATATCTTTCTCAGTCACTACCTGTTGTTGGTCATTCTTTGCAACAATGATGCTTCTTTTTTTTTTCAAAAGGAGATGCATTAGCATGGAGTACTACCTAGGACACTGTGATTTGTTTATGAACTGGACCAGAAAGTGATTTGTGCACCATTTGTTGGCTTAATATTTTACTAACATCACAGTGCTAGTTCTACTGCCACTGCATTCTTTTGCCTCATACTAAATGATCAAAAAAATTAAGGGGCCAGTGTTGCTTAGTAGTATTATGTAGCAAACAAGTGAAGAACAAAGGAAAATTATTTTCTTTTTAGTACCCAGTATAACAAAACTGTTCTACACATATCAAACTTTGTAAGAAAAATACCACACTTTGCCAGAAGAAAACAGACACAACAATGAGATGACATGTTAGATTAGAGCTCCAGGGGTGCCATAAACTTGTCAAGTAATAGTATCAGCATTATACAATTGTACACCCCAAGCGTTAATTTATCTTTCAACAAAGGGTAAGAAAAAATGTTACCGCTGTCCTACACCATTCTGAAGAAAAACATGGTCCTGTTCAGTCTCATTTGAAGGTAATTAAATTAATTTTGACTTTAAAAATCCTGATCAATTTACACAAACTTGATGTATATATGGACGAAATTACATGCTCAACAAAGGATATGTAGAAAACCAAAGGACCACTCATGGTGTACCTCTTTAAAGTTTACAATATTGTACTAGTAAAATTTTGAAGAAAATAGCCGATTAACCTCGCCTTACAACATCCATTCTCAAGTTCATAACATATGGAGAGTTAAAATTTTCAACAGACACACTGTTACAGGCTACAGATCTGTAGATCTCCTCTAAGACAAGGTGAGGAAAAGTTTTTCACACAGGTAACAAAAGAAAGCATGCAGGCAGGCATGCACAAGTCTTGGGGAACAAAAGAAAAAAGGAAAACAAAATCTTCGCGAGCTTCTTCAGTCGCATGCTTTACGCCTTTTCTGAACAAATGCATAGAAGCTCCAGGAAACACCATATGAGTTTCATAGACCCGAGTTTTCACAGACCCGAGTTACAAATTTCAGGCTGGGACACAGTAGCAGCATCAGATCATCTCAGTTGGGAGGAGTGTTATGGCCAATGCTAGGGCTATGGCCTGGAGTGGTTGAATCAACTTGTTCAGCTGGCACCTCCAGGGCATTCCTCCGTGTGCATGGAGGATGCATGCAGATCATAGGTGCCCTCACTACCAGCTTCCTTGCATGAACTGGCACAGAGTGCTGCATGAAAAAGATGACACTCAGAAGCAACTTGAACACAGCAACATTTTTCGACGAAATGGCCATGAAGCTAACAAGCAAAATAGAGCTGGAGATTGGAAGAGAAGAACTCAGAGGTTACTCACTAAGTCACAGGTAAGATGGTTCACCACCTGAGCAGCTCCCTTCTTTATATATGCAGATTGTTTCATTAATTTAGTTCAAGAAAGGTACTTTTGGAGGAGTTAAGTGATGGGAGGACCCGGGTGGTGATAACAGCAATCCCCAGCCAATTGTTTAGGATTTGGATGTCTCAAAATCTTAGTACTTTATTAATCCTAGCCAAAGGGAACACCTTTTCCCAGTTCAGTTTGATTCTTAGAAACATCTAAGCTTCTTCTGCCTAATAGACACTGTATAGAGTGAGATTAGTAATAAAAAATTGATACCATGGGAATATGTAGGTCTAAGAGAAATCTGTGCCAACCTGACATGTATCAGGATAATGCTTTTATGTAAAATCATCCTTCTTACCACCATGATCATCCTCAACTTATTTTGCCAGGAAAGCGAACTATCATTTCTTTTTTTACCAAATGTTACCAAGGACTGAGGATCCAGTCATGAAAACATCTGCTCATTACCATGATCAGTTATCCCAGCAAAATGTGTGCTAAATAATGTAAGTTTAATAGACAAGTTGATCCACTTGTAATAAATCTAACAGATAATACTCGACAACCCACACTTTGGCAGCAACAAAGTTATAATGGGCTAAATATATCTTTCAAGTCTTAATTAAGCATGCAAGTTGCATACTTAAAACATCAAGTGCAACACTTTGTGTGTTCCCATCAAGTTCAAGCAACCATGACTGACCTATCAGAGACTGCCAATCTATTATGTATATGAAACAACAGCAAGTTGGAGCTTCTAATTTTGTTGCTCACGGCTGCATATAGAAAAGAGATCATACGGCAGCAAATGTTCAAAGTAATTATATTGTATATACGTTCAAGGTGCTGCGCCACCAAAAATTATTCCTCCCCTGTGGGATCCTTATTTTCTCAAATTCCTGGAACTTTTATTTATGTTTGGAAAGGCCACTTTGAAGTCTTTTTTCGATTGGGAACCTTTGCTTCCCGTTGGTTGGCTTGGAACTCCTGAATAATTTATTTCAGGTTCTGTCATCGTTTGTGGCACAATACAAGCTGCTCTTCTTATTATTCCTCTCCTTTAATTTGATCACCTAAGAGAAAAGGTGTCATACTTAACCAAAGTTCATAAAGCATAGGAATTTTCATCGTTCTTGCCAGAGCAGTTTTGCCTCTCTACGAAATACTTTTAGGAATAGGTCAATTGCTGTTAGTATAGGCATCAAACATGCATTGGTGCACCCAATTGGGAATCACTGAATGTTGCAACAGTTTAAAAAATACTTGATAGCAGAAACATACCTCAAAGGAAAGCACCCATGCATTCAACTCGGAAATCATTGAATGGTCTTAAGAATTACAAATACTAGGTGAGAACTCAGAAACAAATCTCAAGGCAACAACCATACATTGGCGCATCCAATTCAGAAATCAACAGATCATGGCATGATGCTAACAGTTGCAAATACTGAAGGTCAGAAACATACCTCAAAGATAATCTGGCATCCAAATCTTATGTGTGGGAAGGACAGTTGGCCGGACGTAGGTCACAGAACTGAAACATCAGCTTTAGTAGTTATACATAAAACTGCAACATCAAGCAAGTTTTTGCTCAGAATTATAACCTCACAAATTAATGATCGTGTTCAGTATTCTTACTCATAAGGGCGATAGCTACGCAGATAAGCTTCAACATACGGCAAAGAGTACATCATGAGCTTCACTTATATTTTTTTTTAGAAAGAAGGACATGGATACATAACACGTAATTAGATTCTGCAGGTTTCAATTCATTCACAAGCCAGTAGTCACACCAAACAACACTCCATTCATCAAATATACTCTGTGTGTAAGAAAATAAGCGATAATATGGAAACACTATGTTGGCAAGCTTCACCAGGGCCTTGTGATCAAATAGGAACTACTAATATCAAAGAGGGAGGTCAGAGCATTCCTGTATCACACCAATGATTTTGAAGGCAAGTAGTATGTTTGGCATATAATAGCATAACATACATATCATTCAGAAGTGTTCATAAAAGACATCATAAGAATAAGAAATAGGTGCAACTCCTCCTGGTCTAAACTAATTAACTAGCACTTGGTTATACTTTTGGGGGTATAAAAGAAATCAACAAAGTAATCCTGCTCTAAAAACTTCAAAAGAATCACAGACAGAAAAGGCAGCATTGCTAATCAATTCATAACATGCCATAGCAGTAACTATTTATATTTATCATCGAAGCAGTGAGTTGCAGTACCAGGTGGTACACAGTGATGGTGACAATAATGTCTTATGGCTCCACTATACAAAGTAGTTTCCATTCCATACAAAGAGTACGTGAGATGTGCAAACTCCCCTCTAATTTTACATTATGTAAACATAACATGAGGTGTTGCACGGCATAGGAAACACAACAGGCCTATGTCATATGTACAAGACCTGTTTGTGCTCCAGCCATTCAGGTGTCGCTACCTCCTATTTTTCTACTTGCTACTGAGCCTGGAGAGCAGGTAGAGGCAAGCTGAAGAGAGGAAAATCGATGCTGCAAAGCAGAAGAGGTCAGTACATGATGTGATGGTCACCCTCTTGCTCTTCTCAAAGATGCCAACCAGTAGAACCATGACGATGACATGCCCCAGCTTAGTCTTGAGATCATTCACTGACTGGATTTCGAGCCACTCAGGCCGTTCCTGCAGATAGAAACAGAGGTATCAGGATACTGGAAATTCCCCAGTTACCGCACCATTTAGAGGGATGCTAAGTGCGTGAACCAACCGGGAGCCTGAACAAGCCAAAGAGGTTAGAGCCATAGGATGATGACTTTGCAATGTCCATGTTACTGATGAACAGCTCGTATAGCCCTGTCCCGAAGACAAACATGACCGTTCCAACCAGAAACATATCTGAGGTAAATCAAGAAATGCACACTGGTCAGTTATCAGAAATTACTACATATAACTCCACTAGGATGCATGTAGCAACGATGCAATTTGTGGTTTGGTGCTTGTGCTCCCGTGTTATCAACTGCTAATCTGTGTTGCTGAAGATACAAAGTGGTTAATTGCTCATGGCTGAAGTGTGTAGAACAGCATCAAGTTTAGGGAGATTAGTTAGTTAGTTACCAATGGCTTCAACTAGCATCAGGGTGACCTTGCCGCCACCGTGCAGGTAGTACTCGATGAAGGCATCCATCACATAGACGCAGCCCTGCAGAGTTGGACAGTCAACAAATTGCTAGGAGTAGATCGAACCTGAAGAGAGGAGATAAAAATCGACCTTGAGGAAGCAGGGGACGGAGCCGATGAGCGAGCCGGCGATGGCGAGGAAGGTCATGAAGCGGCAGGCGTAGATCACCTTCTCGATCCGCGCCTCCAGGTCGGCGGTGAACTGCAGCCGCAGCGGAGGGAGCTGCAGCCCGTGCACCCCGCCGCGGTGGCGCTCCGAGTGCACGGCGCTTGCCGCCGCGGCCGCCTGGGTAGTACCAGGCCCCCTCACCGACATCGCCGCGGTGGAGGCCACCGTCGCCGGCCTCGGCCTCGGCCTCCACGCCCATCCACCGCATCCGCCCCCCACCAAAACTTCCGCCGCCGCCGCCGCCGCGGCCCCGAATCCGGTAGGCCTGGGCTTCATGCCGGCCAAGTGTTCGACCTCGATTGCGCGCTCGCCGCACTTCGCGCGCGGCTGGTGGTTAAGTAGCAGTAGAGAAGAAGAAGGCGGGCCGCGTCGCGTCGCGTCGCGCGCCAAGTGGAGGCGCCACGTTCAGTGCACCGTGCGGAGGGGTGACGACGCCGACGGCGACGTCGCCGCGTCGCGTAGCGGGGCAAGGAGGTAGTCCCACTGCCCACGCTGGCGGTGGCGGAGGAGACTCTCCCCCCCGCGCCGCGCCGCGCGCTGCTTCCCCACGGCCGGTGGCGACAGCGACGGAGATAATTCCGCGGCAATCCAATCCCCACTTCTCCTCCTAGTCTCGTACGGAAGCCGACGACGATGACCTTGCTGTGCTCCCGTGTCACGGCGTCATCCTCCTCTTCTCCGGCGATTCCCAGCCACTCCCTCCCCGTCGCGACTCGCTGACCGGTTGTTGGGCTTAGACTTCGGCCCAAGAATAGGTGGGCCTTCTATATTGGGCCATAAGGTCCAATCTCATCTTGTCATCGGATTATAAAATTGTATACCATCCCTCAACTTACAAAACCAGGTCACTTTGGATACTTGGACGATTTTGACCCTGATTTTATCCGACGTGGTAGCTGAGTTAGCGTGGAACCCATACGGCAGGGTGACTACGCCATCACCATCTCTCTCCCCTCTTCTGTCCCTTCTTCCTCTCTCTTTCTCACTTTTCTCCTTGTGCGGGCCGGCCCATCGTGGGCCGCACGGTGGCGCGGCGGCAGGGAGGGACCTTCGATGTACTTTTTCCTTTTGTCAGAGAATGTTCATCGGATTTACATATTGGGCCAGAAAGTCCAATCTGGTAATTCAGGCCCAGCCCAATGGTGAAGTATTATCAGTTTTCAGTAGACAGACAGCGTCTGATTTTGTCAGAGAATGTTCATCGGATTTGCAGTAGTAACACTGAAGAGATTAGTTGATGATGTTATCGATTCTGATTCCTGACAATGACACGAAGCGAAAAGACACTTGAAGTAGTTCATACACACTGTTTAGGAATTAGGATCGACTTCGTAATTTGGTGGTACAGAGTACAAACAGGGGACTGATCGAGAAAAAATAAAGAATTACAAATATAAATGTGTTTGTTTTCGCGCTAAATTTGAATAAACTCTTCTTGTAGATTCAGAGATTCTACTGTACCAGCATTATTTGGCTGTACAAGTATGACAAGTGAAACATGATCTGTAATGGTGCGATGTAATAGTAATGTACGTGTCTCGGATGGCGTCGAGATGCAACGAACGAATCAAATGGAGGAATTGGAATCAATGGCGATCGGCTATGGCGACCTGGAGGTGCAGGTGTTGCGATCGGAGGCCATGACGGTGCCATTGCCGGGGTAGAAGAAGTGGAGGCGGCAGGAGATGCGCGTCCAGAACTTGAGCGACGCGAAGATCCCGACCTTCCACCGCGTGCGCGCGCGGCCGAGGAGGTCGAGCGGCACGACGCCGGACTTGAGCGACGCGTCCATGGCGCGCATCCCGCCGGCGTCCAGCGCGCGCCCCTTCGACACGACGTCGTACCGGAGCGGCGCCGCGGAGGCGCTCGCCACCACGAACGGCGCGGCGCGGAGGCGCGCGACGTCGGCGCCGTGGAAGCGGAGCGCGAGGTCGACGCGGGCGAAGGAGGCGTCCGCCCTGGAGTTGGTGTTCCTCGCCATGACGGTGACGAGCGCCTCCAGGTAGTCGATGGTGCCGCCCTGGTCGTAGTCCAGCCGCACCAGCTGCGCGTCGGACACCACCAGGTACGGCATCCGGGGCTTGTAGATGAGGTACACGGCGAACACCGTCGCGCCGGCGACGATCACGCCGACCGCCAGCAGCGTGCACAGGATCACCAGCGCCCACGCCACGCCGGAGCTCCGGTGCTTCTCCTCCGGCCTGATCCAGCCGCCACGATCATGGTGGCGATCGTCATCCGACGCCATCGCCGTCTGCGTCCCATGGTGTCGTTCCTCCGCCGCCATGGACAGCTCATGGGGACGCCGATGGCGCCGTGGTGGGGTCGGCGGCTGGTGGTGGTGGTCCGCCATGAGCAATGCTCTAGAATGCGATGAGGCGGCGGCAGCAGCGAGGCGAGGAGTGGCATTAAGGGGAGGATGGTGATGTGCAAGGTTGAGGGGGAATGGAAGCTAGGATAGGATAGGATCATAGGAGGGAAGGGGATAGGGAAAGAAGAGGGTTTGGTATCTTCTTTGCTCTCTCAAGCAGCTTCCTTTTTGGAGTTTGAATGCTCAAGGTACTAAGGTTGTGTTTAGTTCACGTCAAAATTGAAAGTTTGATTGAAATTAGAACGATGTGACAGAAAAGTTGAAAGTTTATGTGTGTAGGAAAATTTTGAAGTGATAGAAAAGTTGAAAGTTTGAAAAAAAAAGTTTGGAACTAAACACGGTGTAACTACCTCTTCATGTCATGCTACTCTAGAGCCTCTACTTGCAATGCTTGCTTTAGAACCTAATTGAGTTTCAGGTATTAATAAATCATCACAAAGCTTATTCTTCAAAAAAGATTATAAAAAATTCATCACAAAGCACACATCTTCAGGGAGATCTGGATTGCCCTTTCTGTTTGTACGTGTTGGAACTTGAAGAAGGTAGCAAGACACTAAAGACTGGCTGGTGAGCTGGAACTTTCTTGATTTGTTCCTGTATGCATTGGACTGGTTGAACTGAAACTGTATTAGTTGGAGCTTGTTCATGTGATCTGTTGCTTGCAACTGTGATCTGAATGTCCGATTCTGTAGCCGTGCGACTGAACTCTGCGAGATTATCTAGGAATCCTCCTATCCAACTGGGAACTGCAGAGATTGGAGGCATATGCATACTGACTTGTGATGTGAGACTGTCTGTGTCTGGGTGAGCCTGAGTAAAAAGAAAAGGTGAAAAGCAACAAAGGAGACGGCACATCGACCTGGCTATCTGTAACGAAGCATTTTGTGTAGGGTCGCCCATGCCGGAGAACAAATCGATCGGGCCAATCTGTCATTCTCTCTGTATCGTAGTCTAGTATAGCTCTCTGTAAAGTTCACACTAAACTGATACAGTGCAGTGCAGTTAAATACTACTATATTAATACGACACCACGATGATTCCAGCCGACCCGTGAACCAGAAATTCAGAATCGTTTCGATTTACGGTTTTGCCCAGCAGCTGATCACTCTGGGTATGTTTAGTTCACGTCAAAATTGAAAATTTTGTTGAAATTAAAATAATGTGACGAAAAAGTTAGAAATTTATGTGTATAGGAAAGTGTTGATGTGATAGAAAAGTTTTTTGAAAAAAAAGTTTGGAAGTAAACTAGGCCTCTGTGGCCTTGCTTAGTTGAAGGCAGCACAGCAAACTATACCAGCGACAGGGATCTCTCGGTTTCACTACTACTGCTGTGGTGTTCAGAATCGCGTGCTTGGTCTGCATTCCTGTTGCTTTTCCATTGTTTGGGCCTGAAATAGAAACTTCAAGGAGGAGATTCAAACATGACGAAGTCAAGGAATGGAGAGGATGTTGGAATTATATATGGGAGCCCATATGGAGAATCACAAAGCCCCATCTCATAAAAGACATGCTTGTGAATATTAATTCGGTAATACTCCATGCCTAGTGTTAGGAGTACCACATTGCTAGTTTTAGAAGAGTTGAGACCATTTTAAAAGGGATAGTGTTAGGTATGGGAAGGTGATGAGGCTACAAGACACCAGTGACACAATATAATTTTTAGACCAAAGATCATTGAGGTCATTTTCTCTAACAGTTGCTGGCCAATTGTGATATAAATATTAGACCAAAGATCATTACGGTCATTGTCTAAAAAAAGTAACCAAGAAGGTTGTTTTCAGAGTATTGTGAAGAACAGTACTACTTGTCTTATTTCTTCAGTAACATCTCATGGTTGTGCATATTTATGCAAAATGCTTCAACAAGGAGCTTTTAAAAAAGTATAGGATCTGTTGACCTGTTCTGATCAGTTTTATTCAGTATGGTTCATGGTTTCAAATACAAACAGCTTATCCAATAGGACCAATACCATATTTTTCGCAGATTCTTCTCTGTTTTAATTTTCATGGATGAATTGGATGAATTTTTCGCAGATTCTTCTCTGTTTTAATGTTCATGTCTGAATATGTTACATTCAAAAGCTGGCTGGTTGACGCACCTGTTCCACGTTCATGTTACATGAAGGAGAAATGAGAAGATAGATTCACAAGAGAACATATCGGAAAGTTCCATGGGGCCTGTCCTTTAAATCCATCTTGTTGCATCCTCGGTACACAGAACGAGGATCTTGCCGGCTTAGCATGCGGCTTTATATTATATACTTCAGAGGTGGTTTTGAACTTTAACTTTTATTTGGAATTAATTTTAAAGGTCTCATTTTGTCATATTTGTTGTTCAGTTCTTTTTTATGATTGCTAAGACAGTAAGTAAAAATTTAAAGTTATTCTTAAAAATCAAAATTATACTATTTGGACCATAACAAGGTCTTACCAAGATCAGTTAATGTCTCAGTGGTAGTCGACGTACCTATCAACAATTATGCGTTTGTAATAACTTTATTAATATAAAGATATGTTGGTTTAATCTTTCTGATGTGCTCATAGGGATAAGGTCTGTTCGTAGAGATGACTGTGCACGTGTGTGTGTGTGTGAGCGTCTCCATTTCTAATGTGTTTATAAAAAGAAAGTTGATGTTTGTCTCTAGGTAGAAAGAGAAGTAATTTAGTACTCTACCATTGTACAATAAGCTTTACTCGCTCACAGGAAGTTTCACTCTGTCACAGAACTGAAAAAATGTAGAGAACGAATAGCACGTATGTAATTTTTTTTTTTTTGGAACACAATAGGAATAGTCCCTACTCTGCGTCGTGGGATGAACTAGAGGGCCAGCATGTTATCTGACACCAACAAATTTAAGTACAATCTGAACCAAGAAGAAACAAGAACAGTAGAACACATGCGTTGCAATTGCATTTAGACAGAAGATGAGCTCTGCGATGAGGGTTTGGACATCGAGCTGGAACCTGCCCATGAGGGCAAGCAGATCGGCAAGACGACGCTCTGATCGCCCTTGCCGTTCTTGAAAGGAACAACACTTTACTGAAAATTAGTAGTACTAAGTTGCCAGCCAGTTGATATAACTTTAAGAGCATGGATCATTATGGCCATGCTTTTATAATCAAGATAGCAGTTGATACAGAGTAGGTGCTAAATGCAGTACCAGTTCTCTCTGTAACCCTTTTTTTTATAGAAACACTGCAAACATAGGCTCTCATATATACGCAAGCACTCTCATCATAAGTACACATATGCATATTGTACACTTATAAGCATCTCCAAAGTCCAGGCCAATATATTGAAATTGATAAAATTATCACAATCCACAAACACCCCGGTATCAACGGGTACATCGTCTGTCAGAAAAAATAATCGTCCGTAAATACAAGCACACATAAAAGTCTGGGATTTGAACATACTTTTAGTTGTGCAGATTTATGCAAGTGCTTCTGCCTTCAACAATGAGCTTTAAAAGTCGAGGACCTATTGGCTTGCTTAATTTCGTCAATTTTAGTGAGTTTAATTCGTAGGTTAATGAAAAAAATGTTTATTCGGGAGCAGGTTTTATCAGATTCTACCTATCTTATTTCTTTGGTGCTAGTAGCTATTTTTGGTTGTGAAGATTGATGCAAGTGCTTCGACAGTGAGCTCTTAAAAAATGACTGGAGATGTTCACTAACCCTTGGTCAATTTATTCAGTTTAATTCGTTGGTGCAATTGAAAATAGATCACTCAAGATCACGTTTCAACGGTTCCTTTTTTTTTAATGTTTTGCGATAAAAAAACAGAGATTCTTTCTTTTATAGTACCGGGGAGTTGTAGAGAGTACCCATCGAAATATGGATGCGGATTCTCTGGTGTTAAGTCATGTGACTGCATCTCAGTATGTATCTATATGTCAGTGACATAAAGTCAAATAATGTAAGTAACAAGATTCTGTTCTTCAGAATATATATTCCATTGGAGCAAATTGATGCATTGTTCTCTATTCATGGTAGAAATGACAAGATATAAATTCTCAAATGGAGTACTCTTTTATTCTTTTTTTGAGATTTAGTACTCTTTTATTCGATAATGATTTATCTCGGTACACTGCACGAGGATTCTTGCCTGCTAGGCACGGCTTTATTTTAATCGCGTCCTTAACTGTCCTTAACTTTTAGAATTAATTTTAATCGCGTCTTCGTCATTTCGTTGCCCAATTCTCTTTTCACAATTACTTTTATAAAACATGTAGATGTATCTAAACTTAGTCTTAGAAAACAAAATTCGAAATTAATTAGCTTACCAAAGATTAGTTGATGCTCACCTGAATGATTCTTCCAAAATAGACCGTAGGATCAATTGATATGTTGATGCATTCAATGAATCACCAGTGTAACACCCTGAAAATTCGACCAACGAAATCAAAACACCAAAAATATTGCATCATGCCGATTTTATTCGCCTATTTCATTAGATTTTAATCTCGGAATTTATTAATCGCGAATAATGAATAACTAACTAGGAATAAACCCTAAAAATCAAGTTGGCTAAATAAATAATTAAAATATAAATTAAAATAAAGATTAGGTGGGATTGGAAATAAATAAAATTTTATCGCGACCATATTAGCAATAATTAAATTTTAGTACGATGGAATGAGAATTAACCCTAATTAAAAATTCAAATAAATTATATAAACAAAATATGAGTGATATTAAAGTAGGGTGAATTTTTAATTAGGATAACACAAATATGGAGCAAACTTCATTTATGCAAAAATTAGAATTTATAGGGCTATATTTAAATAGAAAATGGGCAAAAATCGGGATAAATAGGAAAAGTTACTGTTCATTGCGGCATAGGTGTTCGATCGTGGTCCCCCTAGCCCCGCCCCCTCCCCTGCCGCGTGCGCCGCGTCGCCCGCCCGTCGCGCGCGCCGCTGCCGCTGCCGCGCCGTCACCGTCGCGTCGCCGTCGGCCTCGCGCCTCGAGCCGCCGCGTGCCCGTCCCCTCGCGCCTGCGCCCCGCCGCGTGGCCGTCCCCTCGCCGTCGCCCTGCGCCGCTGCCACGCCGCCCGTTCCATCGCGCCGAGCCCCGTGCCGCCGCGCGCGTCGCGTCGCCCCGCCTGTCACGCCGCTCGCTCGCCACTCGCCGCG